CACCCTCTGTTGGATCAGGTTGAGATCAGACAAATAACACGAACACCATTGCAAGAGATTTTTGTGGCCTAGCATAACAACAAAAATCGCAATATGAACTCTGGTTTAGGTTTTAAAAAAAAAAATGGTTTCTGAAGACATTAGGTTTATAATACTCAGAAATTCATATACAGATGTCCTCAAAGACACATGGCACAGTGGATAAAGACGTTGGTTAGATGCAGTGACAATATTCAGTCACCCCCCCCCCACGAGGGTGTCATGTGGCACAAGGCCTTTTTAACGTGGGCATTCCCGAGCCATTAGGCTCGGCCAAAAATAGCCCATTTGAACCCGTATAAACGGGTTCTGGGCGATTTTACCTCCCCGAAGGAGACACCGCCCTTCGGCGTAGCCTCCTTCGGGTTCCTCCCGCCCATAGGAAGAGAGTTTAACTGAACAGTCGCTGGTTAGATGCAGTGACAGGACCCAAAGATTGTGAGTTCAATACCTGGTTAAGTGGAGAAGGAATTAACAGGAGATAACTGACATCCATTAGACATGTCACTAGAACAGTCTACCCCAGTGAGTGAAGTAAAGGGTTCAGTTCAACATTCCAAGTCTTCTTCAGGCTGGATCGTACAATGGCCAAAACATTGATAAACATGGCAAAATAGTCTGAATAATGTAAATACTGTGTATTCGGATGTTTCATTTCTTCTAAAGAAAATGCCATGATTACCATATTTTAGTAATGCCAGCACTTAAACTGTATGTAGAGATGTTTTTGACATGCCTACTGATGTTTTCATTAGTGTATTATTTCCAAAAAAAGTTAGTTAAAAACAAAATGAAAATTTTTTTTTTCAGAATCCATCATATCAAAGTTCAACATTACCGTTGCGACCTCCTTACCACCATGACAAATGGCGATCAGGCTACCAAACCTCACTTTCTATACCTTTCTGACCACAATAATATTCATGACATTTAATGAAGAACTGATCAACACTTCTATAAGATTTTTTTTTTTATGATAAATGTACTAATTTGTAGCAAGCTTCCAGATAAACTTTTATAAATTTGAAGTTTTTATTTAACTGGCTTTGAAATTTAGAATGGACAGTCTTGTTTTCATACATTTAAAAGTTAACATAGAAAATTAACATATATATCTGAGGTAAAATGTGATTATAGAAATCAAAATTGTAAAATCTCTCCAATGGCAGTTTTCTATATTCTTAGTTTTAAGAATTAAAATAAAAAATGCTACATTTTTTTTTAACTCAATAGATATCTATTATAATTTATTATATATAGCAGAACACTGCTTCTGAATCATTATAATGCCATCAGTTGAATTTCCACATCCTGTATTCTCTTCTCTTATAATTAAGTTAGCCAGTGTCAAATAATCATAGATTAAATTGCCTTTTTTGGTTTTAGGTTATAGTTTGGATAAGATTGACTAAGTTTTGGAATATAATGAATCCCTAAGCAACAAACAATCCTGTGTCTTGTTTGTACATAACCAAACATGGGCTTTTGTGAACAGTTCCAATTTATACAATACAAAGTAGAATATATAACATTCATTGTTAGCATTACCAACCTGTACAGTAATTAGCAGAAATACCCAACAAAGAGAATTGATATAGTTTCCAATAAGAAAAAAAAAAAGTAAAAATGGTGTTCATACAAAGGATACAGACAAGTGATTGTAGCATTCCAAAAACAAAGATGACAGATAAGACCAAAAAGTGGCCAGTTGTTTTGCTAGCATGTATCTGTATGACTTGTCTATACCCCACTCCCAAATACTGTAAAGAAATTTCAAAAATAATCAAATGACACAATGATAACAAAAATGACTTTATTTTTTTTTTTTTTTAACAGTTTGGAACAATTGCATCATGCACCCCCACCCCTAATCCAAATTCTTGCTCATGCAAACAAAGGCCATCAAGCACTGACACTTTGATATTTTTCTCCGCACTCACATTTTCTCCTCCTAAATGATAATGTTCTGCATCTTTTACAACCACAATGCTCCTTTCATATTATACACATCCACACTCAAAATAACTTTCTTTTGTTAGTATGTCTGCAGAGCATTAAATCCTGGATTTGTGACCAATTTTTTGTGCATTAAAAAAAAATTCTCCTGGAGTTGTAGGTCAATGATTTTTAAAGCCCCAGCAGACAACTTTTTAATGAGGAAAAAAAAAAAAGTTCTGTAAACCTTAACCTATCCAGTATCTTTTTGCATTAATGCTGCCCAGTGTTAGTATGTCAGATGTGTAAAGTATAAATGTAAAAGAAAAAAAATGTACTTAAATAGCAGCAGATTAATAAATGTTAGCTTCAAAATAACTTATGGAAACAAATGTTACCTTCTGCTTTATAAGCTGCCAAGAAAAAAAGCACAAGTAATCTGTAGTTGATTAAGCCATCCATTTGAAAATGAGAATTCTATAAGAAATTATTTGAAACCAACTATAAGCCATAATTTATACATTCCAACATCTTGAATAATAATCAATTAAGAAACATTTTCATCATTCTTCAATTAAAATTTCAAAGAATTGTTTCTGTGTTCTATATCTCTTCTTCTCTTTTGATATAGTTATGGATAATTAATAGCATATATACTTTATACATTCTTAAATGAAAGAAGCAAAATTTAATTCTTCCTCGTCTGACACTATTACAGATTATTATATTTGTCTAGAGAGGAAGACTTGTGCCACAACTTGTTGCCTTTCTCTTTACCAGTGACAAAAACATATTAAAAATTATGGAACAATAACAGTTGGCATAAAAACATACATGGTAAGAGTTTCATTATATTTTTAAATTCATGTAAATCTGATTTTTACCTGATTAGCCAGAAAGTAAAATACAAAGTTTACCTCAAATACATAAAGACCCATTCTTACTTTATGATTAACAAAAAAAAAAACATTTGAGTAAACCTCCAATTTTTATCCACAATTTTTTTTTTTTTTTTTGAATGTTGCAAAATTTTCATTATTTAAGTGTACAAGTTAAGTTGATAAAGTTCATTTTTTTTTTCCTCTCACAAGTTAATTGTTATGGAATTATTTATACCAATATGTACTATGGAATGTGAATTCTTTTAAGTTCACTGAAAGAACCAAGCAAAAAAAAAAACAGTATAAACATAGGCACAATATCAGGTCTGTAATAAAGAATCAAAGTTATTCTGCAGTCAAATAAATCATTTAGTTAAATCTTTGACAAACAGCTTTTAGTTAAGAACTCAATCATACTATGAAATTTCAGTTCTTGTTTGCAAAGGTTTTTTTTTCTATTAATGACATGACTTAGAGAGAAAATTAAAATGTTTTCCTCATAACAGTGTGCATATCCTTTGTTATTTCTTTAATCTCTTTTATCATTCATAAAACAAAAGCTGCAAGATAATCTATAGAAAATATATATATATATACTCACACCAAAGGCTGATTTTTCTGTTATTTTTCATTTCCACCTACACAATACAACAGCACAGCCTTCTAGTAACTCATAATCAAGCAACAACTTCATAAACTATGCATTTGTACATTAAATTTAAACAAGAGGCAAATTTAGCCAACAGAAAAAAGTACAAATAACCGAAAGGCCACGAAAATTAAGAACAGCAAATTTGCTTAAATTTAATGTAAAAATGTATATTATAAAAAGTACATTATTTTCTATAAATACAGCAGATCATTTTTTTTAAGGTGTCTTAACAACATCTCTAATGAAATTTAGGTGCTGAGAAATTTGTAAGATCACAAAAACAGTCTGTTGCCAAATACAACAGATTATCACCACTGAATCAAGAACTATAACAAAATTAACTATAACGAAATTAATTTAAATATTTACATAAAAGAAAAAAAACCTAAACATTTTAACAAGTCAGATTGACGATGTATATGAATTTAACTCCTTTTTCTACAATTTCACAATGAATCAAAAATCTGATCTTGTTTCTCCATGACTGGTCAATATTCCTGTCTGAGCAATAATTTAAAATTGTTCTCCAGCTGTGACCATTATAGAGAATGCAGTATACAGCTGTCCAAAAAACTGGTACAACCAATTAAGCTTCTAATGAAACTTTTTTTTTTTTTTTACTGTCTTGCATTAATTATGTAAAGGATGTATATTACTTTCTGTAATATTTCTACAAACAATGTAATCTTATTTTGTGCTAATTTTCTTTTCTATTAAACTTGTTTAACATTTAAAATTACTCAGATATTTGTCATCCAGCCTTCATTTTTGTAAGGTTTAGGACAATTATAGATTAATAGGGGGGGGCCTTTTTCTCTCATTTCACAGTTAAGAGAATTGGTTATATTATGCAAATTTGGCAGAGTGCAATGGAAAAGATGAATGTCAAGAAGTAAAAAAACAATTGTGTATGAGAAGCAAAGATGGAAATAAAATAGCATTTGGTTACATACTGAAAATGCAAAGATAAAATTTGAAATATGATTGTGTGTGAAAGGAAAGAATTGTTTAAATGAAAATTAATTCAAGTTTAGCTTTCTTTTAGTTAGTGCCATATTAAAATCTCGAATTTTTTTTTTTTTTTTCATTAAAAAAAAAAACTTAAAAATGGTAATCTCATTCTTTCAAGTTTAGTGAATATGAGCATCATCAGATTAAAATATATTGTGGAGAAAATAATGTGTCAAGCATCTGCAGCATTTCTTCAAAAGGGACAGAAAATTTGATCGTTATGTTGGTGAAAGTAACAAGACCTTGTTTCAACAACGGAGAAGGGAAACAAAAATAATCACTGTGCTTCGAGAAGACGGGTGAAAGGAAGACAAGGGAGATAACTTGTAACATTTGACATGATATTGTGTCAAGTTCATTTCCATTTAATTACAGTGACAAGCTGTAAGGAGCATTGCAGTTGGATGAGTGGAGCAGTAACCACTTGCTTAGTTGGGTGGTGTGGCCATCCAATGGTAGACATCAACATTCAGAGAAGTCATCTAATGAGGAGTAGAAGGAGTGCTGCAAAAGAAATTAATATCATTAAAATAAAAAAAAAAAAAAAGACTTGCATTAAAACAATTATAATATAAAATCCTTCAATTATTAATATTAACCAGCCTCTTCACAAGACTTTTTTGCTGTTGATATAAAAGGTAAATAACAAAAGTAGACCATATTTACTAAGACTTTACATAAACTAGTAAACAAGACCAATCCATTTTTGTAATCCTGCTTTCCTTGAGAAAAATAAAAACTAAAGGTTACTTAATATTTATTCGAATTCTGTCATCAACAAAATTTAAAAAATAGTGAGGTGATTCTATGGCCTTAAATGGTTAACAATTTGATATGACATTAGCTTTGCTTTTCTTACAAACAGAAATTAAAAAAAATCTTGTAACTGAGCTGAAAAAGTTTTAAAAAATCCCTTTCTACCAGTTGAAATCAATGTTTTGAATTCTTTGCTTGTTGATTTCATTCAGTAGTAATCATTAAAAGCTATTCTTGTTTAACTTCTTGAAAGCTACAAAAATTATTTAATAAAACTGTAGCACTTGTCTAAGCTTCATACATTTTGTGAAATATTCTGGTTATATATTCTTTTGATAAAAAGTGTTTCCCTCTCAAAATGAAGCCGATCATGTGATATGCAAACAAAAGAATAAAGATGAGAAATTAAAGGGAAAATTTACTGTTAACATGTTTCATGATTTTGTGGAAGTAACTTATGATTATATTAATAAAAAAAAAAATATTTACATATTAGTAAAATATAATTCTATTACAAACAAGATTATCCTTGTGTTGCACAGGTTAGGTCAGAATAGAATATTTCAAAACCTGCTACAGAAGGAGAACGTAAATTTTCTGCAACTCATATCAAAAGAAAATGCAGTAGAATTTAACAACCTGGTTTCAACAGGAGAAAATTAAAGAGTAAGTCATGAAAACAATAGCAAAAGTCACTTGTTGACACATTTGATGTTTGATTTACTGTTCTTCATAGGAACAAAAGGCAGAGTAAACCAGATATTGATTATTTTCTACTCTTGTGACCATCAATAAAACAAGCAGAATCCACACTGTTCTAATATTCACAATCATGTAAGAGACAACCTGATTCTGGAATGATCAGACTGACTAGGAAAGCTTTGCATCAGAAAGACATTAACTGAAATCTTTGGTATTTAGCCACAAACAATTCAATATGAAAGTCTAAAAGAAGCATAAATTACAGGAGACAATCAAATAAAATGTAAAAATTATGTTAAAAATTTAATACATTAAAAGATTTTACAAACTTCCTTACATAGAAATTTGTTTTTATTACACATATTTTCTTGAGAGTTTATCTTTTTATCACATTTTTTTTTAATGGATTAAAACCCCGCTTTATTATGAAAGCTTTGTTAGTGTAAAAAAAGTTAAGATGCTACACAAGTAAGTTAAGGTTTGGAATGAAAGTTCAAATTTAGACCAAAGTTGCTTCAAACTTTCCACAAGTGACAGCTGATAAAATAGTTCAGTTGGAAATGTCGATCTTGTCAAAATTAATAAGCAAAAAAAGTTCAATACACGGAATTTTGAATCTTGAACATTTCAGATGAAAGGCAGATGACACATTTTATAGATGTTACTTTTTATAAAAAGGTTACACAATCTGTCTTTTCTAATCAAAACTTTTTTGATAAAATTCTAATTAAATCAAACAATATTTCATACTCAGATAATTTAAGTGAAAACAAAACTGGCATAAACTCAAGATTCACTTGTTTGAGTTAAACGATGACTTGCTGCTGTGAGAGAAGAAATAAATAATCATCATAAAAAGATGTGCCTGATGGAACACTCTTATAAAAAAAACAGCATAAAAATGTAGCTTCATCACAATGTAAATGATGTTACAAGAATCAACATTGAGGCAAAGGGAATAATATAAAAAGATGTTGTCTAGGGAAACTTCTGATCAATCCAAATGAGAAAAATGGACAATAGTTGCAGCAGTAGCACAAAGAATTCAGAAGAAACAATTTTACAGTGAAACAATGAAAAGTGTTCAACATGCGTGGTGCCATTTTTTTTTTTTTCCTTCTATTAACATTCTCCAAAAATTATACAGACAACCTGAAGAGAAATAAAAGACACCTAAAGATGAAGCATTGTAAAATAACATTAAAAAAAAAAAAAATGAACGAAAAAGTGCACATATTTGTTTTGTTTTGTTTTTTTATTCTTTATCATTTTTATCCACATTCATTCATCTATTGCAAAATGTTGAAGCAGAAGATAATTTTAAAAAAAATAAAAATAATAGAAGTCATGCTTTGAATCTACCATGTGCTGAAAAGATTTTGGGGGGGAGGAGGAACAAGCTCAATCACATATGGTGTGTGTGTGTGTGTGTGTATGCGCGCATACACACAAGCCATTTTATAAAGCCTGTAATGATGTAAACATTTGCATTTATAAGCTGCTGATTTCTTTTTTCATTATTATCCATTTCTGTTAGTTTTACTTCTATGTCTCTCATCACCAAAGACAATATTTGTGTCTTAACAGATGTGACACATTAATTCATCACAATACCTGCTAATGATCAGAGTACATACCATTAAAACTAACAGAACCAAATAACAGCTTTTTCTCTTTAAAGCTTATAAATACAAGAAACACTTCATCTTTTATTATTCATTCATGCAAAGACTTAAAATATCATTTCTAAAAGTGTTGAAAATGGTGGTAACTAATAAATATTTACATTTAAAAAAAATGGTGGGGGTTGCCTTGTAAGCTAAATTGGAGTGCTAAAACTGTGCTATGTGTTTCAGCTGGATACTTACTTCCCTGGCCTTCTTCAGTGACACATAACTTTAATACCTTCTAAAAACAAGAAAAAATGACTTTGCATAACCCTGTCATAATGAGTATTTCTATATAAGTATCTATACTCTTAAGAGACATTTCACATATGTTGTTGTAGTATACAATTAAAAATCAACTTGACAAATCACAAGACAAATTATTTGACACCCAATGAATGAAATATGAATCCAATAAAATGTTTACTTGTCCATTTAGGAAATAAAAAAAACAAATCAATTTTATCACAATTTTAGGTGATTTTTTTTTATATATAGAAAATCAAATAAAGATTAAAATATATTCAACATTAACAAGGAGTATAATCAGTTTTAACCAGTCTTAACAAAAGTCTCTATTTTGGGTTTAAACCTAAAACCACTTTTCATTTTCTGCAATTACCTATATTTTCAAAGTCTATAATAACATGACATAACATCAGGTGCATCAGCTACTAGTAAAGTTTAAACACTAAACTATATATAAATGTCACTTCTTTACAGAAGGTCATCATGTCCCAGTGGTTAAAACATTCACTTTCTGATCATGAGGCCCAGATTTGAAACTCACCATTGTCGATTTACCAGCATGTGGCACACCTTTGGAAAATGCCTAAAAAACTATACCACGGGTTGACCTAAGCCTCATCAGTGAAACTGGGTAGACAATAGTTCTGTTGATGTGCTAGCATGAAAGTAACAAGTCATCATGACCAAGGATTTGAGCTTACTGACCTTTGTTCAAACTGTTGATCATGCCAAATGATGTGTTCTCTCTCTCTCTCTCTCTCCCTCCCGCAGAAATTGTAAGCCAGGTCAGCTCAGCTTAGTCACAGTATAAATTACAGGTTGGCTCTGTGGGCATTGAACAGAAATATGCCCGAGTAGGTGTCAGGGCATCAAAGACTTGCTAGACATCCCAGCAGACAGGCATATTCCAAAACGGACAGCCAGCAATATAACTTTATGCCAATCTAACTCTCATAAGCTTAAGTACTTTGGACACCAAGAAAAGCAGTTGACTTATTTACATATTTTACTTTTACCCAAAGCATAACAACATCAAATAGTCAAAAACTAATAAAGATAAATATACCATAAATGAAAGTGTATATATATATATATATATATGTGTGTGTGTGTGTGTGTGTGTATAAGATTGCTGTGTGAATGAAACTCAGTTGTACCAAATGGACAGGAACAAAAGTATATTTATTAATAATAGCATCAATTTTAGTCCTTATTTTACAGCAAGCACTTTTATTACCACTAGCACTCATTGTGCAATATATATATATATATATATATATATATATATACACACACATTGTTTAATAAATAAACAGAGCGTCTACTCAAATATGAGTATCTACTAAAAATAACATTTAAATTGATAGAAATCTGTTGGATTAATAAAGAAAAAAATCTTTTTTTTTTTTTTTAGAAAATTACTTTGCTTGGTTTTATATTCAAATGTAAACAAAGTAATCTGTGACGAGAAGGATATCACTTAAAGGCACTGTTCAGATTTTGCTTGATTGGTAAAGTTTCATGTCCAAGGCAGTTAAGGAATGTCAGATCGAACAACGGTTTCCTCTTGCACAGATGGATGCAGATCTGAATCCTACTGTAGAGTACATATATTTTTAAAATAATATTCAGGCCAGTAGACATATATAGAATATTTATTATAAATGAAGCACCTATTCAAATATGATTACAGTGGATAATGATAATTGAGTAGATGCTCAGGTTATTTTTTTTAAATGGTATTTTATTTCTGTCTACCAACCTGAATATTATAGAAATCTTAAAGAAAAATTTGTGTGTATGAGTGTGTGTATATATGTATACACACACACAAAATAATTAATGAAAATTGTAAAAGTTCTCATTTTTTAGCCAACTCAGCCATGAAGAGAGCCGTCGACTAACCAAGATTGTATACTACCTTTTATTCCCAATCCTTCTCGTTCAGATTCCAGAAAGTTCATAACATCTCAGTTTCATATCCAAACTTTAACAAAGCAATTTCTAAAGAAGTTATGGATTCTTATTTATTAATCCAACATATTTTTATCATTTTAAACATTATTTATTAATTGATGATGATCTAAGTGGTTGAGTTAGTTAAAAACATATCGGCTCTACTGACGGTTTCTCCTGAAAAGGGGGTTTGAATCCTGCCAGAGGGCACATTTTTCTTTCATAATTTAATTTTTTTTTCTCAAATATTCAGGTTAGTAGGCAAAAATAAAATACTGTTTAATAAATAAGCAGAGAGTCTACTCAAATATGGGTATCCACTAAAAATAATGTTTAAAGTGATAAAACTGTTGGATTAAACCATTACTTTATATATATGTATGCATGTATGTATGTATGTGAGAGACAAGACTGTATGACGACTGTCAGTTTAATGTTTAAATGAGATTTTCACAGCAAGTCTCACTTCTCCAAGAATAGTGGCACATTGTTTATATCTATAAATGGTCTCTCGTCAATACTGAGTATTGCTCCCTATGAACATAGTAAATTTTAAACAATATATTTACATAAAAAAATTAACCATTTGTAGTAATAAGATTACTATAACTCTTATGATCAACATATTTATTTTTAATTACTATTTATTAAAATATATTTATTTAAACTATATTATATTTATATAGTCTTACAGATTATGAAATTAATGAATGTCAATTCTTATTAGGTTTGCGCCAACATTCTATTGTAATAAATTTTTCTTTGGATTTAAGAGATTAAAAGATAAGCCAGTGAGTGAGTATCAATCTTAAAATTACTGAAAACGTTCCTTATGAAGCAAATTTTCATTGTCGTCATCATCATTAGAGAAAAGTGACAGGCAAAGTTCTCTACTGAAAGATGAATACCTTGGAGATGTGGATCCTGAACTTGTTCTTCGCTTCCAGTACAGGCCCTAATGAAAGGAAAAACAGAATTTAAAAATGATTACAAACACATGTGAATAATGAAGGCAGAGAATCACAGATTGTTGACGTTGCCAGTAATGAAGGGAGAGACCTGTAGAAAAAGGTCAAAAGCAATACTTACACTGGAGACTGGTTGCTTAGAAAAATTCATATGTGCATAGAGCACCACTCCAATGTCTTTATGATCTGTTTCCATGGCAATAGCCAGAGCATTCTGGCCATCCTGCAAAGAAGAAGAAGAAGAAAAGGTCATCAAGCTTTTCTACCAAACAAATAATAGCTTAATACATTACATTAGTCTTATTCAGCATGACAATATTTTCACAATAAAATTGGTATTAATCAACCAATGTTCAGAAAATTTTCAAGATATACTTATATGAACAATATATCATATGAGTTTCAGCTTGTAATATCTGTCCTTACTAAAAAAAAAAAAAAAAAAACTGATAGCTTATTTGGGGGTGCGGAATATACATTTTCATTTAAAAATAAACCCCAAAATATATAGGACTTAGAAACATATTTTATTAGCACCAATTTCCTTATACCAGAAATAAATCATTTTATTATCTTTTATGGGAAACAATATATAAATTTTTATATTTCAAAACAGTTTTAAGAAAACCTGACAAAGTGGAACAAGGACAAAATACATCACAAAAATTTTTCTCCACTTTTTCATAAATTTTCATGTAATTATCTTTTATGTTAATATGGGTTCCTTGCGATTTAACAACCAACATCAGGCTTTTATCCACAGTTTTCTATTAATTTTAACATTTGAAGCCGTTTTTATTGTTTGCCCCAGAGATCTTTGCTAGAATATTGTTTCCCATTGGATTACTATAAAGACATGTTGGTAGTCATTTCTTCAGTGGTTTTTAATTTTTTTTTTTTTTTTAACAAGGTAGGCAATGGTCAGTTTTACAAAATATGAAGACACATTATCTTACATCAATATACTCTTTAGCTTAATGCTTCTTGCTTACAATTTGTACCATTCAAATGAGATCCTGTTCAAAAATTTACAATCATTTATCAGATTTATCTTGAACCATGAACTTTTAAGGAACTAATAATTTTACTGCTGACAATACTAACCCAAAACAATACAACTATGTCATTTGACTACTTATAAAAATAGATCCAAACTCTAGTCAAGCCACCAAGCCTATCCAATGTAATTCCTATATCAATCAATAAAAATTATTGTTGAGAAATCAGTTTGCTCAGTTTACACATTTGCTCACATGTACAAGTACATGATATTCTCAGCATCCTTCTGTAGAATCACATTTCTGTTGCCAAAAGTCTTCATCCATGATGTGATTGTCTAGCATTCACTGCCATATAGAGATACTGATATTATATAACAGTTCAGTAGTCTTTTCCTTGTTTCTAATGACATTTTCCTGTTTCTTAATACTTTGCTTAGATTTTGGAAGGCATCTTTCATTATTTGAACTCACTTTTGGATTTCTTCCAAGATACCTTTTGTACTTGCTTAATTTTGAAATCTCCAATTTGTGATTGAAATGTTGGGCTGTGCCTTTTGCTGACAACCCTACATTCTGCCATCTTACAATTGATGTTTAGTCCTTTCTTCTCGCCTTCCTTTACTACCTTCTATAGAAGTTCCTGTAGTTTCCTTTCTGTGTCTGCTATCAACACTGTTTCATCTGCATATCTAATGTTGTTAAGGTTGTGGCCGCCAATAATGAATCATGGTAAGACTTCTAGTTTTCTCAGGCTTGCTTTACTGTAATGGTTGAATAAGTTTGGTGAGAAGACATGTCCTTGTTTTACACCTCTTTCTATATTTTTATAATTACCAAATTCATTTTCTCTCAACATGCAGACAGTTTACTCCCAGTTTAAGTTCTGGATTATTCTTATATTCTTCCAAAATAAATCCAGCTTACCTAGAAGTTTCAACAGTTCTTTGTCAAATTTTTTTTTATAATCTATAAAACATAGGTACACATCGGTTTGCATTTTTATTGCTCTTTCCAATATTCTCAGCATAAATACTGCATTTCTTGTTCCTGTGTCTTTAATGAATACACACTGTTCTTGTCCTACTTCCAGTCTAATTCTGCTGCATACTCTATGATTGATGGAGTTCACATTTGTTTGCACCTGGCTTCTTAGACAGTGCTATAAAAATTGATCTACTTAGGTCTTCTGTTATATCACCACTGTCTTATATTTCATTTATCAAGTCTGTAATTTTGTCAATGTTGAAATCATCTAAAGCTGCTAGCATCTTTATTATGATTCAATCTAGTCCTGCTGCTATTTTCAATTAGGCCATTGCAGATTTCACTTCAGATTTTAATATTTCTGGTCTTTTGTTATTCCTGTATATTGCAGGTTGTCCTCTTTTATTGTGGAAGAGTTCTCCAATGGATTTATTCCATCTCTGAAGTATTTTTTTCTTAATCTATTATCAATGTTCTGTCCTTGGATTATGTGCATCTTGTTGATGAGCATATCTTTTTTGTCATAAACAAGGGATAATAAACATTATCAATGGAAAGACAATAGAATAGAATGAGCCTGGAGGTAGTTGGAGATGGTAAAGGCTAACAAGTAAGCAGCAGGTAATTCTCAATTGCTGTTCATCATATTCAGTGTACAGGACATGAAATAGGAAATTAAATCATGTTGACATGATTTTTTTTTTTTAAGCACCACATATAAAACAAAGAAAACCTGTTGTCAATGTAGAGAAAATAGTTTGTTTGAATCTTCAAAACACCAAACAAAATAAGTAAATAAATTTCATATTTTTGCAATGTCGATCTTAGGTCATTAGAGATTAATTTAAGAAAATAATTCCACTCACCAGATGAGGAAAAAAAAAACTTCAAATTATTATTACTACTTGAGCTGTCAGATTACAAAAATTCAATGTTTCAGTTACAAACTTTCACTGCATCATGGCTTTAGCTCACTAACAGCTGATGATATTTACAGCTGTTCAACTATGCACAATGACGTCATTAGATTCTACAAATATAATTTTCTTGCATAGATGGAAATTAAAGGTCTAATATTGATTGTCCCTCCTTGACATGGAGAGTTACTTAACACCCAACTACCAAGTACTTAAAAGCATAATTTCTATTCAGGCTGAAAAACAAAGCACTTGCCATAGAACAATAAGTTTGACTCTTTTTTTTTTTTAACCCTTTTTTTTCTTTTAACCCTTTGTGCCCTGCATTCCTGAACAACTTTAACCCTTCTGCCTCCTGAGCTCCTGAGTCAAAGTTTACAAATAATTGGTATGTAATGTTTCACAGTAGATATAAAAATAGTTACAAGTGTTTACCCAGCATTCAACTGGGCATTAAATCATTTTTCTTTACCACCAGCAAAGCAGTGATTAAGACTCAAAGGGTTAATCAAGGTAATAATGCCACTAAGACACAGGGGGTTACAAGGAGTGAGAATATTTTATTGTGGAACAGCTTCTTCCTGTGAACCACTACTCTGTGGAACAGACTCCAAACAGGATGTTTCCCTTATCACTATAATCTTAACCTGTTCAAGTATAAAGTTAACCATTATCTTCCCCCCCTACTATCCATATAAATTACCCTATAACCCTCTACCTCAAGTGACCCACAGGCCTTGTACAGGATGAATCTTACTGTTTAAAAAAAAAAAAAAATGTTAGAAAAGGCCAAAGGAACAGGGTTCGGGAAGACAGAATATGGCAACTGATGTTGCATTTAAATTTTTGAAGATTGTAGGCAGAAGGGAAGCAAGAAATCGGAAGGGGGTTCTACAGGTGAGAAGCACGAGAAAAGAAACTATTAGAATAGAAGTGGCTAAATAAAATATTAATTCTAATAAATATAAGAAACAAACAATTCTTCACAAATTTTAGGATTTGTATATCTAATTCATATTGTAGGTTTTTCTAGATATTATCTTGGAAACAACACACTATATTCCTGCAAAGACTTACATTATCAGTGAGTGTAGCATCACATCCAGGATGAGCCAGAAGAGTTTTCACAATATCTCCATGTCCATGTTCACAAGCACACATCAGGGCTGTGGAGCCATCTTCATCTTGACAATTGACATCTGCTCCTGCCTCTAATAACATTTTCACCATATCATCTCGCCCATGACTGACACAAAGCATCAAAGCAGTCTGGCCAGCCTGAAAGGATAAATTAAGAATATTACATAGACATAAATATACAGCATTACTTTTTTAAAAATTAAATTTGATATTTAATAAAAAAAATTACTCAATTTACTATGAAAATACAAAAGAAATAATTATATTATCACAAACAGCTACATTGCTTGATTGATAGGAAGAAAAAATGAATGTGTCTTTACTGAATGGTATTGCAACTGGAAATTCTTTCTGCTATGAACCATGTGATTATACAGTTGATTAATAAAGAAAACGAAATCATGGAATCTCGTTCAGATTTACTTATGTCATTAGAATGGTATCTTTATGAGCCAAGACTAGAAATTGGAGAAAAAAAAAGAAAGTTAATCATTTCAAAGTAGCCAAGTGTTAAGGCAAAAACAATAGTATGGTTTCTTCAAAATGTGGGTTATTATAGAGGAGTAGCCACTTTATAATAGATGAAAGCTACTTTATAAACTATTGACAACATACTTAACATTTAGAAAAAGTAGTAGACAACTGAAATCTACTTTTCCAATGAATCTAATTTTGCTTAAATTTTCAAAATGAGTGGACAAATATTGATCTGAAGATGAAGTAATGAGTTTTAAGTCTAAACCTACCAAATCACACACATTATTGGTTACAGCTTTCAGAAAATATTTATTCTACATGAAGGACTTCTCCCAATATTTATTTAATTCTTTAGATACAAATACCCACCTTTTCATTGAAGGTAGAGCTATAAAAAATAGAATGGCAGGTCCCATTAGCTATTAAGTGAATCCTATTGAATATGTCTGGAAATTTTTAAATTGTGAAATAAGAAAAAGTTGAGAAACTTCTATAAAATATGTTGGCATTTTGAATACAAACTGATTGGCTATCCTATAGAATAAATGTGGTTCCTGATAAAGCGAAAACTTTGACATCTGTTAAAGTTCATCCAATGTTAATTTGAACAATATTCTTAAATTTCTTTGTTCATTTAATAAAAAGCTTTCAATTCAATAAGGTGTTTTTCAATGTCTGCCTTTATCTATACAATGAAAGAATTGTGTCACTCCAAAAAAGTCAACAAAAACAGACAAAATATACTTAAGTGATTAAAAGGTTCCATTACTTGGGGAAAAAAAAATGTTTTTTCTTAGGACTTCTCAGCAGTCAGTACATTTTTTTTATCTTAAAAAAAATACATCTTGAATTTATTTATAGAAAAACAATGACTCATTCTGCAAAAAATGACAGTTTTATGAGGGAAAAAAATGACCTATGATCAAATTTTCCTTTTTACTACCTGATTAAATTAAACCATTATTTATATGTTAAAAAAAAAAGAAACCACACAACAGACTAAAGAAAATTTTTCTCATATTTTTTCCTTCTCCAGTTCCAGACTTCACAATACTATTTCCTCAGTTATAAATATTTGGATTTGTTAAGGGAAATTAATTTAAATTTAAAAGAAAAATATATATTTTCATTATATTCTAACTATTTTAAGAGGAAAAATATTCAATTTAAAACAGAACTCTCTTTATGGATTGTTTTTTTTTTTTTTTTTTGCACTAAAAGAAAAAGAGGAGACAGCAAAAGAGAGATTGGACTCCAAAAGCAAATGTGGGAATGCAGAATCTGGAAGAAGTTTTTTTATTTTATGTCAAAGATCAGATTAAAAGTAGCCGCTTAGCAGAATCTAAATAGCAGGCCCCAAAATGGAAAGAAGTGCATATGCATACTAACACAAGGTGATATGAAAGCTCCTAGATGGTATGCGCTGTGATTGTAACATTCAACACAGGCATACACATACAGCTAACACTGATTAGTACCTAATCTATTGAGTCAGTCTACCAATAAGTTTCATGCTATCCACTCTTGTTCAGTTTTTATGTTAAGTTTATAAAAGTATCAAAAGAGTGATGTTTATCATGCCTGACAAATTCAAGTAACATACCTGCAAGAAGTTTGGCAAATTTGCCCTTGAAAAAATCAATATGATTTGCCAAGCTCTTGACGGACATCCTTTAGGCCAAAAATAGATTTTTCAGTAGCATGCACATTTTAAGATCAAGTGTTAATTCAAGATAATGAACATCTAAAATGAGTAATTACCAACAAAACAACAGAAAATGAGGGTCGGGAAAATAATTGTGAACACAACCATGAGAACAGTCACCAAACAATCTAACAGATATCTAACAACTGGAATCAAAATCATTAAATTTAAACAGAAATCATTGGTAGTATTGGAGAGCATTCAAGAAAGGAACTTCTGATGTTTTAAGGTGTAGAAGAGGCATTGAGATTGCTGTGTACATTCCCAAGAGGACTATCTTGAAGAGGAGGATTGGCAATTTGAAGAATTTTCATTCAATGAAAATCTGCAATACAGCTTCCTTTTGATAATGTCATCCCCCTCACCAGGGTTTAAAAAGAAATCAAATTGTAGGATCTGAAACAAGTGAAATCTTTTCAGTTTTACTTACCTCTGATGCTCTAGCATTGACATTACCCAGGCTAAACAACCGTCGGACCACATCTTGGTGCTCCTCCGTCTGAACATAAGCAAGAGAAGCCAACATAATAGCCGAATAACCAGCCTTATTTTTTTTGTCAACATCACACACACCAGTGTCCAGCAGCAAATTCACAATTTCAAAGTTAGAATGAGACACAGCATAATGGATAGTACAGTTGCCCTGAAACAAACAAAAAATTAACATTATACTTTTAAAAATATTTAAAATGGATACAAATCAAAAATCTTTTTTTTTTAATTTTTAGTAAAATATCACTAAAATATTATTTATAATTATTTGTAGTTTATATGCATATTTCAAAGATGTTATCAACTAATAATGTTAAATTTTATTGTTATAAAAGTTTTAGCACTTCAGTAACCACTAACAATTAAAAGGCAAAATGGCTTTTTATCATTCAAGTGATAAAATCTGATGGATGCATTAGCAATTTTTTAACATTTAAACATGAACAATAAATACAAATGAAAAACAGACTTTTGGGATTCATTTACATTTCTTAAGAACACAATATTATTTCCATTAAGCAGTGATCAACAAAAAACTTCCTCTTGAAACAAACATTTATTCAAAGATTTTGCAGCAGGGAAAGAAGAAAGGAGGTGGTAATAAAAAATAATGTAACACATCTAAAAATAGTTGTTTATGTACACCATATGAACAAAAGTTTTTTTTTGTTTTTTTTAAATCAAGACATTCTAATCTCAACATGGCAGGAACTCAAGTCCTAACAAGCTTGAACTGTTGCCAGTCAGTAAATTGATTCATAAAATTTTTTTATGCATATCTTTGATTAGTGAAGGATTATCAAATTATAGCAATGACATGCACGAGTGAGTGAGATTACAGAACTGAAGGCCCTGTTTTTGTTCGATAGAGGTAAAATTCCTACTTTTCAAGACTACTTTTCATTATATATATGAGAATAACAATCCAAAATTAGTTTGATACAAAATGTGAACATTTCAATCTTACAAGACCAATAATAGACTAGCACCTGGTAGTGACTAATCAAGCAAGTAAATGAGCAAGAATTCACTCATTCAAAGGGGGCAATCTCATTTACTTATAGTGACATGACACACAGTTTAGTGAGCACAAAAATTACCTCTATCAGTGACAAAGAAAATCCTGTCACTCATTCATTCTTATTGCTATCTTGCTGTAATTGACACTTTTTATGCCAGCTGTCTACAGCAACAAAAATTTTCACACACACAAAAAAAAAAAAACATTCACAAAAAAGAAAAAAATAATGATCAACCAACAATCAACTGACAACATACTTAACAAGCAAAGCAAACCAAAGTCAGACTGATGACTACAGGTGTGTGTGTGTGTGTGTGACACTGTCACAAGAGCAACACTTGAGCTTGCCACAGACCAGTTAACCAACTTATTCAAAATCTCTAATGACTAACCAAGCTGCTTCCATAAAGAGGATGACTGGAAAATGAATAACTGAGAAGAGGGCATCCAAAAAAAATAAAAAATAAATAAAGTTAGCTAAACTCAAAATTAAATTACTGAATATCCACTAGAATGAAGCTGAGACAAGTTATTCATAATCTATTTGAGAAAATTTGTCAGATGAGTAAATACAGAGCTTAATTCTTATAGGCTCCATACAATTCAGATTAATATAAAAATTTTCAATCAAAGTCTTTCTTTGTAAATGTGTGACAATGTGTAAATGATTTTTTTTTTTTTTTTTTTTAGCTTATCAACCCTTTATTGGTTATTTCAAGCTGGAACATTTGTGGGATTGTAAGATTATTCATACAATCCAACAAATGTTCCATCTTGAAATAACCCATAAAGAGTTGAATTCTATTTTTCTTTTGCAAGCAAATACGACAGACAATTTTTCTGAGAGAATAGCTTTTCCAAATACAAATCCTACTATTTAACATATAGCTGGCAGGAGAAGAGATGGATTCATGCCTTTCTTAAAGGTATTTACTTACTTAGTTGTACTTCTTGTGGCATTCACCCAGGATCATTTGAGCCAGCTCCAAATAAACAAACTTGCTGCATCCCAAATGAAAGCTTGACAGTTGGATGCAATTGAGTCAGTAAGAGCTAACTAATCACACAGTTCCAATGGTCATAGCAGTGATTTAGTTAGAGCATCAAAATATTCACTTTCTGCACACATCCAGTCTGGCAGGGATGAGACACAGGGTCATGAGGAGATTATGAGATAATGTTGCACAGTCTATTTCGAGCCACTTTGTAAGCTAGCAGAGATTGTCTCTACTGTCCAGCTCAAGTTGAGCATACTGTGCTCAAAGAAGGCATCCTACTGTTAAATATTTGCTATGAAACAAGTGGAAACTATTAGAGTAGTAACTCTGAAGAGGGGGAACACCCTTCACCTTTTCTCTTTGATATCACCCTTGATTATGTTGAAAAATTCCCTCAACAAACATGATCATCTAGGTTTTACTTTTCAAACAAGACTCAAGTCAATATCCTGTAAAAAAGTTTATATATTGACTATACAGATGATCTAGCTATCACTGCAGGCACAATTACCAGTGATGCAGTTCTCCTACATCATCTAGAAAATGCTACCAATAATAATGGACTACATCAATGCTTCTAAAACTGAATACAGTCTTCAACAAACAAGTTTCAATACAAATTGTCTCAAGTAAATCAATAAAATGTTGAATCTTTTACATTCCTAGGAAGTGAAATAAATTCTACTGAAAAGAATGTGAAAATTTGCATAGCTAAAGCCTGGGACACATTGAATAAAATGGATGTAATCTGGAAATCTGATCTACCAGAAAACCTCCAAGATTCTTTCTGTGTATGGTGACATTGTTTGGACATTAACTAAAACCCTAGAGTCTAAGTTTGATGTAAACTACATTCAGATGCTGAGTGCTATACTTAACATCTCCTGTAGACAACATCCAACTAAATCACAGTTCTAGGGACCCATCTCTGATATTTCTACACTCTTACACAAATCTTACACAAACGTAAAATGCACTTTGCAGGACACTGCTAACAAGCAAAACAAGAATTTACAAGTTATCTACTGCCATGGCTCAAGATGGTCACCCAGCAACCACCTATATTGAACAGCTATGTTATGACACAGAATGTCACCCCAATGACCTTCCAACCTTGATGCTGGTTGACATGATAGACTTCTAAATGTCCAAGCTAGCTCAACTACATAAAAAAAAAAATGGGTCATAAAAAAGAAGTTCAAAGTAAACCATTGTAAATAGATTTGCTGGAAAGCAGCATAGAGAATTCTTTTCCCATTTGTAAAAGCTGAAAATTACAGAATAATTTCCACAACTGTTATACAGGGATTCTTTTAATACTGAAAATAAAATTTGTCTTTCAAATATGCCATGGATTTCTCTTAAGATGACAAATAGAAAAAAAAAAAAAAAATATATATATATATATATATATATATATATATATATATATATATTAACATTAACACTAAATCAACTCAAATACATATTTTAAAACAAAAATATTTTAACAAATAATTAAAAATATTATAATCCTGATCATTAAATCTTCTGTTAATCAAGGAATTAATTCTAACTGAACAACCAAATGTTTTTCAGGCCAATGATAAGAACCTAATTGCTCTAAATTCAGAATATGTCCAAAATGTCTGCCAATAACAAGAAGAGAAGTGTAACTGGGAAAACTGATATTAGAAAAGGTAAATATTCATTTCTAAAAGAATGCCATTCAGCAAAGTATAAAAAATAAATGAAAAACAATATTTGACCAATAAATAAATGTCTAAGATCTTATAAAATAAGTGAACTGTTCTTTTGCACATTAGTCTATATTTCTGAGATGATGTATTCTAACTATTTACATTGTTCAGACTGCTGTCCTCATCTTTATTGTCATATTCAATGTTTTGACTATTGTATGTTCCAGCCTACTTCAGGTGATATATGTTGGAATTTAGAACAATCTACCCCGGAGCATACAACCGAAACATTATGAATATGACAATAAAGATGCCAACAGTCAGAACAATGTAAATAGTGTAAATGTTCTTTTGAAATATACAAGATCAGGATGAGAATTAACTTCTGTCCCATTAAAAACAGTCTTTGTAAAAGAATCTTAGCTAGTTAATTTTTTTTAAAACACCTTATATGAATCCTGAGCAGAAAACATCAAATCTTGTTAGCTTTAACATAATATCTAACATTATACAAATAGCATCTGACATTGATTTATCAAATGAGCAACTTGGTGAAAATTGCATCAAAATTTAATCTTTCAGAAAATCATGCATTTTATATTGATCTTGATTTTTCAATATTTATTAATGGCAAAAATCAATAGAAAATGACCAAATCTTTAATCAGATTACAGAATCAAGACAGAATTCCAATAAACAAAAGATTTTTGCACTTTTTATATCAGAACATTAAAAGCTTTGTGATCTAATTTTAACAAGTTGCTATTTCTGCTAACATTAATTTTGGATAAATGGAGGCCAGCATGCAAATTTTTTTTTACTTTCTTTATTTCTAGCCTAACTGTTCACTGTCCTTGACTTTTCAGAGGACTTTTTCCTTTTCTTTTTTCAGAAACAAAAAAAAAATAATTTCATTTTCAAGTTTTTAACTTTAAAATATCACAGATAATTTTTAAGCATTATACATTAACAAAAGCAAGAAACATGCTTTTAAGTTAAGCAATTTCCTTTACTGATATATAAAAAAAAAAAAAAAAAAGAACAACTTTGCATTTCAATATACTTATTCAACAAACATGGAGAGAAAAAAAGGTACTTACATTGGCATCAAACATGTTTACAATGTGTTTCAGCAGTTTTTTATCAATTTCATTGAAACAGGAAAGATAATCTTCAACTTGGTGAGGATTAGACAACTTGTGGCTAGATACCCGGAACCAATCTTGTTGAATAATATTTAAACTCGTATTCTGGAGAAGAAAAAAAATTAATTGTGTGAGATTTTTTTTTAATTAAAAAATGTTGGCATTTAAATTTTATTTCAAGACAAAATTCAGAAAATAAGATTCAAAGCTTTTAATAATTCTTTGCTTTTAAATGATTAGTATAAAAGTCAGATGGATGTGCAAGCCATTATCAGTACAGAAAGTGGCATTGGTATGTTGGGCTCAAATTTCAATAGAGTCCCTTGAATTCACTTTTGCATAAATTTTCTTGAAGCATGAATCTAGGGGTTTAATAGCTTCAATTAGCAACAGCTCTAGGAGGACAAATTTGAATTTGAGTGTAGTGCTGGTAACTCTATAAAAACCTAATTGCTACAGAAATCACACTACTAATACTGAACAAGGTGGGGTTGTAGTCCTAGCATGGTGAGGTTATGGTTCTATACTTTACAGAAGAGTCTACAGGGTTAACAACAACAACAAAATAAAAGTTACTTACTAGTTGTTTACTTTGTACTTGGGTTGAATCTTCCAGGTACATATTGAGTACTTGACACGCTAACTGCATATCTTCACTCAGCTCATATCTGCAAGAAAGGTAACAGATAATTAAAAACACCACATAAGAAACCCTTCAGTACAAGCAGAACATTTATTTTCTGTAGTACATAATCCATAGAATTTTTGATTTAATCAAATAAAAATGTAGAGTAATATAGAATTACTCAGTTTATAAAATAGTCAAGATATTTTTAATATTTTCAGAGACTAAAATTGGAAATGACTTTATAAGTTAAACAATTTGGGTTCTTTTTGTGCAACTAAAAGTTTGTTGAAGTTTGAAAAAGATAGCAAGGAAATAAACAAAATAAAAAAAAGGATTTTTGATAAACTGTGCCATTTTTTTAAAATTAAACTGCATATCTTTAATGTTCCTTCATATGTTTTTTTTTACCTTTTTTTTTTAATTACATGAAAACCAAAATATCAATTAATTAACCAACAATAAAGCCATATGATTTCTCAGAGAGCAAAATGAAAACATTTGGACATGAAAATGAAATGAGAGATGAAGGAGAGAATTAATGAAAGATAATTCAATGTTTTGACAAATTGTAATCTTTTTATAATCAGAAAATTACTGTCCAAAAGAGTAAAACAAACCAAAATTCAAGAAGTCTTCATACGACAAAAACAAAATTCCCCTTGTCAAAAGCAATACAAAAAAAGTACAAGAAAAATTGTTTAAATTTTTCTTTTTACTCAATTTGAGCCTAATTCTCCAATACCAAATATGATTGTTTTCTTCATCTGCTATGAAATAGCTACAGAAATATGATATTCTAATCAACAAGTACTAAATTAAAACATTAATATTTTATACTCTTATTCCCAACATAAAGGTGCTTTGTAAAAATAATGTAAAAAAAACAACAAGCTCATTTACTTATCACAGAAATCATAAATGATTATAGAAGAAATATTATATAAAATTCAACAAGTAAATAAATTGGAAATTTGGTAAATTTTGTGAAAGATAAACAGAGTTTTGACAAGACATTCATATAATAAATTTGAAAAAATTAAAAATTGTCATAAAAGGTCACCAGAGATTTCCTTTAAAAATAGTGAATCTAGAAAGTCAACTTGCAAAACATCACAGCCCAAGTTGTTAACTTTACCCAAATACCAAGTACAAATTTGCTAACTATTATCATATCACAATCTTTCCAGCTTTAATAATAATGACTTCTAAATCTATTATTGGATTCAAATAAAGTTCCAAATTTAACCCAACTAAAAAAACTTTTTTTTTTTTTAATCAACTTTTGGGGGCTATAAAAAAAAAAAAGAAAATAAATAAATAGCACAAAAAAGAAAAAGAAAAATAAAGCAACATTTGAGTGTCAGCCTCTCCAATGAAAAAGAACTGATAGTCATTTTATGTTCACTTGAAACCTAGATCAGAAAAGGAATTGAGCCAATCAAGAGAAAGCTCAAAGACTTAATGCATAAAGTAATGAAGTTGACTTTTTTCTCTACAAATTCAGTAATGTATGGTCAATTGATCCCAGGAATAATACAGTAATTTTGTTTTTATAAAGTGGAGTCTACATAAAGTGTGAGCTGTATTCTAATTATTGAAAATGGGGAAATAATGTAAAATAAGTACACTTAAAGGAAAACTAAACATTCAAAATTGCTGCCAAGACAGAAGCAGTATATATAGGGAAGAATTATACAATGTGCACTTGGTAAACAGCATTTTAAGATAACAATTTAGACATTTTCAGAACAAATGTAATGGCAAAAAGTTTGAAATACTGTCTTCAATCCAAAAGTAAAAAATCTTAACAGTATAATAGAAAAATGCATAAGATTTGGGACAGAGTTTTTTTTTAAATAGAAGGGAAAGAAAAAAAAGATACAAACAATAGTTAATAGTTTATTAGTGAGACAATGTGCATTCTTAGAGAGAAATGTTTAGAGCAGAAAGGAATAGAAAAGTAAAATGGGATGATTATGAAAATATTACTCAAAATGTCAAAAGGCCCAATTTATGTATGTGGTTGGCAAGAATAAAAAAAACCTGTTTCTTTTACATGAATGGGAGTCTTAAATAAATTTTTTTTTTTTTAAATGATAGCAAGAGAACATAACAGATGCAGTTGGGATAAAACTTCTCAGAATGGTACAAGTATGAATATGTAAAAAGTACTTTGTTTTTTTAGAAGCAGAAAAGCTAAACCTTTAAATACTGATAGTATCAAGATGTTTTTATAATTATTTAATGTCCATAAACTTAGATTTTAATCACAAAATGCAAACATTAAATAACCGCTTTAAAGAAACAGCCAAGGAATTTTATATCAACTTTGATCTTATACTTTTGTCTTTACAGTAAAAAAAAAAAAGTTAGCCTTTAACAAAACAAATTCTTGACTCCTCAAGTGAAAATAATCTTTGGAAATAGCCTATCAGTACCTGTTTCATGCTAATTGAATATTTCAGATGTTTACTAATAATTGCTACTAACAGTAAATTTAGATATTAAAATCATTAAAGTGTAATATAAAAAAAATGTTTGAAAATTGTTCTCATGACAACATCAGATTTGATCAGGTCAATTTATCTTGTTCCACTCATTGTACCAATTTTCTAGTACAATACTCCAGCATTTAATAAAAAAAAATATATACACAGATAGAAATGTAAATAGAATGAGGCTGTGCATGTGAGCCATTTGCTACTTTTCATTGCTAATTTTGTCTACTACACAGATCATTTTTAAAATAGTGAAATTTACACAATGTCCACAGATGGTGTATCAGTAAGTGGTCAGGTTTCAGAATTCAATGAATTAAAACCAGATTTGACTCCCGTTTGCCCAAAATAAATGCAAATTGAAAAGCTTAATACTGAAAGTAACACTGTCAGTTAATATCAGGTATTATCATTTTATTTAAAACTCTTGTCACAAATCCATAAACTTACAAAATGGGAAGAATAAACTAATGACAAAGCTGAAAACAAGGCTAAAGAAAATGAAAGGTTAAGGCATAACCAATGACACCAATAATGAAGAATTCAAACTTGAATAAAATTTCATTTTCTTGGCAAAGTCATTTTCAAATTCTCAGGCTCCTTTTTAGGAAATAAACAATTCTCAAGATAGCTTATCTTCTCTTCAGTAAATTCTTGAAAGAATTTTAAGTCAAATACGGAGATTAGAATCAAAATTTCTGTCTGAATTTCTGGGATAAGGAGTTATTCACCTCATTTATTATACGCAGTCTATCGTCCTCTTCTTTGTTGTCATTATCGCAATGTTTCAGCTGTTGTGTCCTCTGGCCTTCATGAGGTGCTTATTAATTTGGATAACCTTCAGAGAATTTCTAATTGAACCCTTAATTTAATCTACAGTGGTGGTTTATTCTCATTCCACTGCTCATGTCCAGGAATATCTTGTCTAGTTTCAAAAATAGTCTGCATATAAATAATGTAAATAAGAATAAGAATAAGAATAAAAATCGATCAACTTTTATTGCAGAATCCAGCACTCATCTTTTTTAAAAAATATCCTTTTAACAAAAATACAAGATCTTAATACAAAAATAAAGAGCTCTGCAAGACAGTCAGGTTTTTTTTTTCTGTTTTGTGTTTGAAGTGAAAGATATTTGAGGATGAATGATAAAGACAAAAAAGAGAAGGCAACAGGATTTGAAATTGATCCATGACAAATCCTAACCATTTCCAGCCTCAATACGGATTTTTTTTTTTTTTATTTTTTTTTTTTTTATTCATTTATTCTGCTAGCCCAGCTAGAAAAAAGGTCTTTGTTGATATTGTTTTTCGCTGGCTCTTTTGCATGTCAAGGTCTACTTACGTCTCCCGGATGTTCTGATCAAACATTTTGGCTCCGGGGATGCCCTGTGCTATGGCTTCATCGTCTTTACAGCTATAAATGATGTTGCCCTGCCTCCCGTCATAGGAGCCCTCCTCAAAGCTGCTGCTGGAAGAGCCTGAGTCCGAATCACTGCTGTCAGAATCACTTGACTCATCACTACTACTTGTCTCAGATCTGAAATCAGACACACAAAACTACAATCAACTGCCAACCCTTACACAGATTCACTTCCTCTTGTCTGTTCTTTATGCAGTTGGTGATGCAATAGCTGGTTTGGGCACAGCCTCAGAGACACACACACGCACTGCCAAGATACACAAGAGGACAACAAAGCTCTACTTGGCAGTTGACACTTTCTTAGCCAGTCAGAATCAATGAGCAATTTAGAGTCAAAGTGTGAAACACAAACACAAAATGCATGCAGAAATGCATTTAAGCATGCAGTAAACACTAAAGTCAATGACAATCTTTAGTTCAGTCTCAAAAAAAATAAAATAATAGAAACAAAAACACATCATCACTAAATGCACTTATTTTCTTTGGATTCTTTTGTCATTCTAGCAATGCCAACTTCCCAGCTTAATTTTTTTTTTCCTATAAAATCATTGATGGCATTGCATTGCCTATTTGAATCTCTGAAGACCATCTGCATTTCAAGTATTTTCACCGTAAGACATTTTACAAAAAAATAAAAATATAAAAAAAAAAATTAAAAAATGGTAAAGCATATTTTTTCTCGCCTTTTGAGACTTGCTGAAAAGGTAGGGGAGAGAGAGTCCTGAGTTTGTTGGATCAGAATCAATGTTCATGCGCCTGAGACATGCCTGGTGGTAACGGTGGTCAGTTGGTTGGCCATCCAATGCAGGACAGTTGATCTGTTCTTGTAGGGAAGATTGCTTGGCTGAGTCATTGGATATAACACCACACTCATATACACACACACACACACACACAATACATAGACCAAACAACAACAACATCAAGAACAAAACCACAAACCAAGGAAAGTAGTACCACAAAACTGAAGAGCAGGCAAGACAAATCATGCAACATAAAAAGGAGGGTTACATCAAGGTAGGCAAAAGGTAGAACAGACGGGGGTGATGCAAAGGATGAAAATTAATAACAAAGGAAACATTGATTGGAAGGAAGAAGCTGAGGCAGAATATTAGGCAACAAAAATGGGCTTCTGAGGATAAAGACTAAACACAAAAGGGGTTAGAAACAGAATAAGTTGAAACAAGAGAAGACAACATGGCTGTTATAAGAAAACATGCTAACCCTGGTACTGCCCTTGAAGAGATGATGATCTGTAAAAATGGCCTAGACAGCTAAAACTGAACAGATCTTGTTGGTTACTATTATAAAGGTTTGCTTTTAAAAACTCACAACTAACACTATTACAAGAAAAATATTCTGGAAATTTGCAAGATTGTTTGGGAAGGGCAGTACAAGAGTTGTCAAGCCTAAAGTAATGCTGAAAAGTTAAGAAACTGTGATCAATACAAATATATACACATCTGAAATTTGATAAACTGAAAGTTAAAACAAAAAGGTTAGTTGACATTTTTGTATAAAAATATTACAGAAGCTTACAACTGTCATACGAAGCACAAGCTGTAAAGTAATACAGGCTTAAAGTAGAGTAGCATAATGAAAAAATACCATCATTTTGAGTAATAATATAAAAACAAAAATAAAAAGGTATGTAGTTTATAAATGTGGCAAAGAAAATTTAAATTATAGTTGAGTTATGAATCATTTAGAATTGAGCTCAGACATGATTGCTGAAACAATATTGGAATTTGAAGCTGTCGTGGATTCAGAGTGCAAATATTTTTATTATTCTACATATATTTTTTTTTTCAACCAGTAAATTTATCTTGTTTATCACTTTCAGCCAATCAAGTCTAATCTGAAATTATAGTTTGGTTTGTTTTTATTTTACAGTATATCAACACCTCAATGGGTTATTTAATGCTGATAAGATTTTTATTGCTGGTAATAATTTTTCCTTCAAAAATGTATTGCTGGTATTAAAACCTATTTTTACACTTTCATAGTGTTTTGACCCCAGTTTGGGGGGTTAACTATTTGTCCATAGTTGGGGCCCTAACAGATGCTGCCACCCGAGTCAGGGTGGACCTGGCAACACCAAAAATTAAAAGGTTGTTCCACATTCCTCAAAACCTCCTGATCAGAAGCCTTGCTGGTGGACATAGTTTATCGTCTTACCCAGGATGCTTGAAATGATGTTCTGAATTCAAAGACTAATGAAAAATATAAATGAAAACACTAGTGAAAATTACATGAAATTATATTGGAACACTGTATTTGTTTTTAACAAAGATATTAATGTATTGGTTACAGTAGTCTTATGCATTAATTTACTAAATATGAACTAATATTCACTTTTTAGACAAATGGCATTTCTTAATATAGTTCAGCTCTACTAGAATAGATTCTATTACAAGATATTATAATCAAAGTTTCAGTTGAAAAAATAGTAATTATAAGTGACAAATTTAAGGTAAAAAATTATCAGTTAAATAAGCAAAAATAAAGTAATTTTAATGAACATAATTTATGTTAAAAATATTGTTTATTCACATGAAATTAATAAACAGTCCTATAAACTGGGAAGATTAGATTAAAAAGAAAAAAATGTCACTATCATTTATCAACAAACAAGTAGATATTTATTTCCAACAAGCCTCAGTTGGCCTATCCAACACAATTTAGATGAGAAAAAAGAAAATTATGAATCAATCACATGTAGAGACCTTTCCAGTAAACACAAAAAGTCAATACAAGTTGCACAGAATTTTTCGATTTGTCTAGTTTGATTCTCAAACAATTACTCCATAAATGTGACCTTGTGCCGAACTTGATTTAATCAAATTAAATATTTGGAATATTTTAAAAGAAACCCTGTGATTATTTACTCTAGACTTATTTGAAGAAATTTTATTTCTTATCAAATTGTTTTAAAATTGGGAAGAAAAAAGTACATGAACTAACAATTTTATAAAAAAATTGTTCAAGATACGCAGCATTATAAATATGAAAGAGAACTTTTACATATCATTTACTTGTACTTTTGTAAAGGAAATATATACAGAAACTGATGTGATGTTTGTTCACTGGTGATTATGGCTTGTCATAAATTGTACATTTTTTTCCTGGTATGCTAACATTTAACATTTTTAGACAAAAATTAAGTTCAAAGTTCTGCTAATCTGTATGAATTGTTTATAGCTAAATAGAATTTTTCATTAATCTGTAGTTTTATAAGTTTAAATTAAATTATGCACCAATTTTTAACTTCTTTATTGTAGTTTTTCAGTCATGTATCCAAAGGTTGTACAACTGAAGTAGACCTAATCTCAAGGTTACAACATGTATGTGTTGGCATTTTTGATCATCAACACACTTTTCTTTTAACTTATCAAATAAGAAAACCTAATGAAGATTAGATCCTAGGAGATATTAATGAGGATAATCCTTAATTTTTTTTCCAGCTTTTAAATTGGATAACTATCTGTATTTCCTTTCCCTTACAAGTTTCTTCCACACCATAAATCATTCTTACCATATACTGAACTCTCTCTCTCTCTCTGATAATGGTTAGACATGTCATTTTCCTGTAAACAGCTATCAAAACCATTGGATACAAAATTAGAAACTTTTTTCCTTCTATTCAACTCATAACATTGTATTTCTGTAGCAAAATTCAATCACATCCAATACAAAGGTAAAATAGAATATTCTAATTATTTAAACTTAATTGAGATTATTTTTAAATTAAAACATTTTCTATTTAAAAATCAGTTATATAGCACAATTTTTTCTTGTGCTAATTTTCACAAAAGTTCTGATCAATTAACAATAAGCTCATTATATTTTACTATTTTTTTCCCTACAAAATGTTTAATAAGATTCTGTTATATACATAAGTAAGTAGATATAAAGCATGCAAGATTTGTCTCAGTTTCATTCCTAACATTGAATCATTACTATTTAAAACTTATTCTAAGGTTTCATTTTATAATAATAGCAATTACATAGGCAAAAAGACATTTAAAACAAAACAAAAAAAATACACAGGGGAAATGAGAGAAGAGGAGATCACATTCACCTCAAATATAGAATTTCCAAAAAGTATGGCTGGAAAGTCAGTTGAGACAAGAAGATAAAAAAGGAGAAAGAAAAAGCAATTGGTGAGAGAAATTTGCCAATAACATACAAAGGCTTCTTGGCACAAATATACAGTTAGATCTGACTTGAAAAGTAATACAGTATAAAAATATGTGAAATACAAGAAAATAAAAAGAATTTATGGATTAAAATGATCTTTATAATGGAGAAAAGTTTGGAAGCTTAAAATAGGTACTTTATACAAAAACCTTTCTATACAAAAAAAAAATAAATAAAAAAGTTACAGAACTCTCAAGAAAATGTTTCAGTAATATATCAATAAAAGAATGGTTTTACCATCAATTTCAGTGATATTATTACAGGAAACTATAAAGGTGAAGTTGAGAATTCCATTACCAAAGTAGTATTGAGAGAAATATGTCAATATTATATAAATGTACATATGTCATTATACATAAGAAAATACAAGAACAGAGGGAAATACAGTAGTAAATGATTAAAGAATTCCTAAATGAAATATACACACTCACAAGAAATGTGCATATATAAGTAAATGACCAAAACAGCAAAGTGAAAGCCATTAATTTTTTATATATATATATATATATATATATATATATAAGATTCCTAGGTCTACACTGATATTACAATAAGCACAAAGATATTGAAAGATGAAGCTTTCTATTAATGCAAAAGTCTACATATCCAGCAAATAAAAAGCTACACTTTTAGTTACTGTTGTCTTCTTTATAATAGAATTATAGACTGTAGATGCCTCAAATGCCGCAAAGTATCAAGTGCGGTTGTTTCAGACTCAAGAGATGAGGAGGAAACAATCATGGAAAAAGAAAACAGCTTTATATATGTTGCTTTGTTTTTCCTAACTTGAATTCTCATTCTGATACTTTTATCACAATATTTGGATCCATGTGTGTTCCCCAGGTGTTGTTGTACAATTCACCCATGTCAAATCACTAGTCTAATATGATTTTGACTTGACAAATCTCTTCTTTACA